AAAGCAGGTTTCTATCAGGACATGGCTCTACATACAAAATAACCAATGACTGGTTACATTACAAAGTCACATCTATACTGAGCACATCTTGAGATGCTGAGATACACTCTGACAAAGCAGAAGTTGGTTTGCAGAATGTATGACAGTAGATGTTGTTCATTTAATCAGAAGTGTCCTCCTGTGCCAGAGCACGCAGTTCTTGGTATTCCTTTATCTACAGCACATAGAACACAGATGTGGATTTCAGCACGTTTTGTAACAGAGCACACGCCAAGACAATTAAGTAAGAATGTCAGACTCCATAGTACGCCCCTGGTTGTGCTCCATCTGTTTCAGAGCTTTAGTTCACCAGACCGCCCTGGGCTACGAGTGCTGACCACGCATGCTCTGCATCTGCAGAATGCCATCAACACGGGAAAGAAAAGAGCAGCTGGACTGCATAGCAAACATTGACACAAGGAGAGGCGTGTCAGGCAGGCAGTGGGCACGCTCATTTCTGACTCTGTCAGATCCAGTCATCCTGCACTGTAGGAGCTCAGAGTAAGTGTTGCAAGTCAAGCTTAGCCAGCAGACGCTTTTTACTGAACATATGGGTTACCTAACTGCAAAGCTGAACCACGGATAGAAGTATTTTAATGATTTCATTGCTCAATTATGTAAATGACTTTAAGCCTTCAATAGACAGGACAATATACTTAGCCCCTTGACGTATATATAGTTACAGATTTCCAATTACAAAACTTAAGAGCCTTTAAAAATTGGGAGGCCTTGTTTAATGAGAGCAGTTGCACCACTACTATTGTAACTAGACTCACCACAAGAAGCAATAAGCAGCAACGCATAAGTGAAGGATGTGAACACAGAGCATGCTTTAACCCGCCTGGCAATATGCTGACACCTAAACCAGTGCCATTTTCTTCCTGCAACTTTTAATTCTCAGCATAGCATTTACACGGCACATAGCAACTACATGACAGAAGCAAGAGCTGGTGCACGTCACTGGAACTAAGCCAAGATGATCCTCTCTAAAGCACGCTTCAGCTGACAAAACAACCTGAATTGTGCTGTGGCCGAACAGCTTGGGGCCTCTCTGGAAAGCTGAGGATTGGGGAAGGGTGAAAGGACGGCTGCTCCCAGCAACATGCCAGTTAGATGCTTAAGGAGAGCATCAAATGTCAAGGATAATTGACACATGATGACTGACTCTCTTCAGTTCTGTGGGGAGACAGCTATTCCAGCGCATCTCTCCATCTCACTCACCGTGACACCGTCTCCTCTCCCCCACAGGTGCAGCTGCAATTTATGGGTCTTTACAATGGAAGCACATTCCGGATCCGACAGCACTCAACATTCTTCAGGCTTCGGCTGGAAGCATCCAACCACAACAAGAGAAGGCTACAAAGACCTGAAGGAACTCCCCCACAAAGAGCCATTCTGACTTGAAGGTCAGGCTGCATACAGCTATTACTTCCACACACCACATCAGCAGTATTGTTACACTCAATTCTACCTAACAAACAGTGGCTGTTTCAAGAACATGTTTGACAGTGTTTTGATCAGCAAACAAGAACAAAAGTTTTTTTGTGCTTGTTTTTAATAAAAACCTTTATAATTCAAAAGCAGATATAATCCAGGCTCACAAAGTGTACATGCTTACATGGAAACTGTAAGGAAACAAACAGTTCTAATGCATAAAGCAGCAAAAGATGAAAGACTAGTGCTAATCCCCATCTCCAGGTCAGATCCGATGTGCCCCAGACAGTCTCTGTCCAGCTTCACTGGACAAAGCTGTAGCCTAGCCCCACAGCTATGGAACACCTGCTGAAAATTTTATTCATGCACCCTTGTTCTTTGCAGGGCTCTAAGATGGGAGTGGGGAACAGGTATAGGCAGAAAAAAAAAATAAAAAAAAAAACAGATACCTCAGAAAAATACTTTCTCCTGCAGCTCACGCTTCCAACAGCTGAGACTTTCAAACAACCTTACTAGAAGGAAAACATGCTTAAATACAGGGGTAGAGTGAGCATGCAAAGCAACACAGATGGGGCAGCTTCCATTTTTACGTGAGGAAGGGGGAAAAGTTAACAGATTACAGCACAGTCTGCTTTAACAGATTGCAAGAACAAAATGGCCATCTCCTTTTTATTTAGGATGCACATCTTTGCTTGGCACAAGAGAATAGTCTGATCTCATCCATACCAGGCTGTGACTGACAAGTACTCAGTGTGTTTACTGCTAAATACAGTGTCTCAGCAACTGATGTGTACACAATTGCTCAGACCCCATAAATGAGAAGAACAAGCAACCAAAGCAGATTAGTCAGATACAGGCTACAAGATAACAAGACAGCCAGACACAAATGTAAGAATTCTCACCACTAGAGACTGAGTACTTAAAAAGATTTCTGAGACTGCAACCTTTTTCTTGGCTTTTTGGAAGTGCAAAGAAGGAAAAGTGTTGCAGTAATCCTTCTTAAAACTGTTGCAATAGCCAGAGTGGAATTACTAACAACCTATAGTTACTTAAAACAGCACCCCATAAACCTTAAAATGAAAAGGCATTCTAATTATGTGCTTCAAATCTTCCGCTTCTCAACAGAAAAGAAGATACACAACTGGTACAATGTATTTCACAAGTCTGTATGCTGAGGTATTGCAAAAAAGAAAGCAAAACTATTCATTAAAGCAAAGTTTTGCCAAAGAACGCGAAGCAGTGAGTTTTAACCACTCCCTGATGATGAGTATAAAGGCCAATTCGCATGCAATTAAGAATTCTAATTCTCTACTACCTCCATTCCCTAGTTCCTTCAAGCTTTAACCAAATTATTTTTAGCTGATGAACTCCAAATTACAAGTTCTCAGACTGAATCAGAAGTTAGTTTGCTTGGGAAGTGCACGTCAGGACAAGTCCTCTGCATGAAAATTCAGAGGGCACTGCAACACACCTACAAATGCATATTTTGCTGGCTTTTTTTTTTTTTTTTTTTTTTTTTTTACTTTGGAAAAGAGAAGGTCAGTCAGAAGAGGAGGACTGTGTTGCAGATAGACCAACTGTTGTTCCTTCCAGTCACTCGTGAAGAAACAGATCTTCCTGAAAGAGGATAACAGAGCTTTTTGGACTTGCTATGGACAGCACAGAGTCTGTATGGCTCTCACGTACAAAATAAAGACATCAAACAAAAAACTGATATGGTAAATAGGAGAAAACCTCAGATCTTAGCACCTACATACTGGTTAAGAGTACTTTCATCTTCCTTACAGGCTTTCTTGAAAAGGTAGCATACTTCTAACCAACTGATGATGCACAAGTTAGAGAAATAGCCACTGGAATAGTCTGGAAAGATATCAGGAAGCAAAATAAATCAAGAAGAGGAAGACGGTATAACGAATACTGAGAAAAAGAGGGCAAGGAGGACAGTCTGAAGACTACTTGATTAAAAACGTCTTACATCATACCATGTCTATCTCCATGATACCTCTCACCTTTCCTTTCTATGTGATTTTTACTTTATTAAGTTAAACAATAGTTTCCAAGCTATGCAAGTATTCTGGATGCACTGAACTTCCTACCCAGGAATCTGAGCACTGGCAAGGTTTAAGTCCCACAGCTGGGAAACAAGAACAAAAGAAGGTGAAGAGGATTCATAAATAGTATCAAAGACTCCCCTTTTAGCAAAAAATAATGAGCACGCGGAAGTGAGTCAGCAACAGGAGGCAGAAAACTAAACTGAGTAATGCACTATCTTTTATTGCAATAGAACTGTGCACTGGAGCAGCTATCACCTTAAATGCCTGTGATATTGGTCAGACCCACAGAGGACTTAATCCTCAAAATGCAAGCACACTGTTTAGTAGCTAATTTCAAAGGGGAGGGAAGAGGAGGAGAAACCAGCACAAGCAACTTAACAACAACCTTGTGATTCGAGATAGAGGTGCCCAGCACTGCTGATATTTCCTTTACAGCCAGTGCAGTTTAAAACATGGTTAAAGGCAAAATTCTCTGGTTGGCGTTTCTATATGACCAAGCAGAAACTGGTTCAACAGCTAGTTTGACTTACAGAAAACACGGGTATGCATCTTCCCTCTACTGCCCATGGGAAGACCATGCTAACAGAAAGGCAGCAATGCCTCCCACAGCCAACATCATTCTTTTCCAGCCCTGAGACACCCGGCTCTGTTTAGCCATTCTAGTCATCTGACAGGTCTCATGGAGGGCGGCAGAACAGGAGAAGGATGAGGGACTATTGCTTGTGTAGGTTGCTGAGACTACAGCCAACAAACGTACTTTGCACAAGACGACATCTGACAGCACATCAAGTCTCGAGCTGAAATGACACCAGGCAGCTTGAAGGAACTGCTAATCACCAACAAACTGAGGAAATCCTGTTTATCAGCCCCGCTCCAGATCACACACTCCCGCTGGCACTCGCTCAGGCACTCTCAGGACCGCTCTGCACGCAGGATCAGCTCGTTAGTCCGGCAAGAAGTCACGCGCAGCACAATCTCCACTTGAGCAACGCAGCAAATACCGGGCCGGCACAGACAGAGCCGCCACACGCTGCCGACAGTTACCAACTCGCCTTCACGGCTTCATTTGCACCCATTTACGAGCGGCGCTCACCACGCACCGTGACGGCCGACCGCTCCCGGCCCCAGGGGCGGCCCGCACGCGCCGCGAGGAGCTCCGGGGCCTTCTGCGCCGCTGCTGCCAGCCGCGCGCCACTCCCTCCGCCTCGCTCCGCCGAGGGCCGCGGACAGAAGCGGTGCTCCGCGTTTCTGTAGGCGGAGGGGTTCGGCGTGGCGAGGCGCGGCCGCTCCGAGCCGGCGGAAAACGCGGCGGCGCCGCGGCGGCCCCGCGCGGCTCCCGGCCGCCCCCGGCCCACCCGAGCCCGCTCCGGGGCCGATGAGGTCCTCCTCCTCGCTCCAGCCGCCCCCTTCCACGGGAAGCTCCAGAATAGGACGGGACGGACGCACGCAGCGCCGCCCGCTCCCAGCACTCACACGACGGCCCGTGAGATCATCCAGGACACCATCGCGGCTGCCGCGGCGGCGGCACGTCCCCTCGGCGAGCCGGGCCCGAATGGCCGCGCGCCGCGCCGCCCCGCCCCTCGCGCCGCTCCCCTCCGCTCCCCTCCCGCCGCCGGAGCCCGGCGGCACCGCGCATGCGCGCCGTGCCGGCTGAGCCTGAGCGCCGAAGTGCTTCGCGCGGCCCGCCCTCGACCCGAGGGCTGCGCTGACGGGCGCGGTGACGGCTTTCTGCTCGGCCTGCCGCTGCCCTGCAATCCCTTGTGGGGGGCCGGGCTGTCCCCCGAGGTCGGTGCGGTAACGCGCTGTGCTCACCCGTTGCGCTGGCATTAGTCTCTGTGAGCGCGGCCGTAAAGCGCAGCCTATTTTTAGACCGAAAATCGAAGACGCCCTTTGCTTAACAGTCGTCATGCTGATGCACGAGGAGATAGGAGCAGGTACAGTTTAATTTGATCAGGGAGGAATGTAACACGGCGCCTTTCTCCCCTTCTCATCTCTTCCCTAGGAAGCGCAGGGACCGCTAGCACGGGGCAGGTCGAGCTGCGCAGCCCTATGCGCGCTCTCCCTCGAGTTCCCTCGCTGTGTTCCGGGTCAGGGTGCGGCGCCTCAGGCAGAACCCTGTGCACACACGGGCACGGCTGTGCGTGCCAGCATCTGGCTGAGCCGCATCGTGAGCCTGCCAGCCTCCACGGTTGTGTCCTCAATATCAGCGTAGAAATGCTCAGTGCCAAAGGCTGTGTAAGGGCACGTCCTTATATGGGTCACACGGACTGCTGCCTGCAGCTGATCCAAAGCTCCAGGTGACTGGGCGACGGGAGACGTCTGCAGCTCGAAGAGCAAATGGTATCCTGGGCTCCATCAGAAGACAGGTGGCCAGCAGGGACAGGGAGGTGATTGCCCCTCTCTACTCTGCTCTTGTGAAGCCCCATCTGGAGTACTGTGTCGAGGTCTGGATCCCCCAGTACAAGAAAGACAGAGAGCTGTTGGAGAGGGTCCAGAGGAGAGTCATAGAGATGATCAGAGGACTGGAGCACCTCCCATACCACAAGCTGAGGAAGCTGGGCTTGTTCAGCTTGGAGAAAAGAAGGCTGCCTCACTGCAGCCTTTCAGTACCTAAATGTAGCCTACAAGCAGGAGCGGAATCAACTCTTTGAAAGGCTAGATAAACAGCAGGACAAGGGGAAATGGTTTTAAGTTGAGGGAGGGAAGATTTAGCTTGGATATCAGGGAGAAGTTCTTTGCAGAGAGAGTGGTGAGGAACGGGCTGCCCAGAGAGCTTGTGGATGCCCCATCCCTGGAGGTGTTCAAGGCCAGATTGGATGGGGCCCTGGGCAGCCTGGTCTGGTATTAAATGTGGAGGTTGGTGGCCCTGCATGTGTCAGGGAGGTTGGATATTCATGATCCTTGAGGTCCCTTCCAACCCTGGCGATTCTGTGATTCTGTCTAGGAATGACTGCTGTCTGTGTGCCCAGTTCTTTCCCTTGTCACCCTGGCTGTCTGAGGCAGGATACCAGGCAGGACAGTTCTTAGCCCAGACACCTTGCTGAGCTTGTGGGCTAGCAGGTCTCACCTGCCAGGGACATGTGGGTGAAGCTGGATGCTTCATGGTACACTAGCTCTATAAATCATCTGCAGTGATAATACAGTTTTCCTACCATATAAGGAGTAGGAATGGCTTACTCTCCATACACTGTTGTCTTATTCAGATCAGAGATCCCAGGTCCCTGCAAGACACTCTCAGTTCCATGGGCACATGCCACAATTCCTCAAGTGCTCAGATGAATGAAGTCCAAACAAAGGCATTTTCACTCCTCTGCAGCCATCAAACACAATTCACGTGGTTAAATGGCTGAAAGTGATTTATGAAAGGAAGAAGTGGAGAAATACACAGAATGTTTCAACAATTACAGTGTTTGAAAACTTTTACTATAGTTGCAGACTGTGACATTTTAAGCTTGAAATAGAAGAGCGTACAACGATGTAAAAACAAATTTTACTTTTTCTGTGCAGGTGTTGAGGTCTTGAAAATAATGATGTTGGCCACATGGGGTGTCTCCTTACCTTGACCTCTACAGAGGGGACCAGGTGCAGAAAATGGTAAAGAGGAATTTGTGGGAAAATTAGAGTACACCGCTCAATAATCTTATTTTAAAAACAGGCCTACCCTGAATATATTCTTTATTGCATTCACTGAAAGCAGAAATCTGAACCACTATATTTCCCTTGAATAAAATCCTCTCTGGTGTTAGGCTGCATAAAGCAGCCTTGAACAGCAAAGGATTTGAAATATGAATTAGCTCAGAGAGCTTACATTTTAGACTCTGGTTCTATAAACCTTTCTGCAGAGGCGGATCCTGCTGCCTGCATAATGCTCCAGTGGAGTTCTGTAGCATTCCAAACCATCTAGAGCAAACTGTGAGATGAGAGCTCTAGTTTGTATTCTATTACAGAAGTATATAGTAGATTTCTTTTCTATAAGCAATTGCAAAAAGCAGTCATCTCAGAGAACCTTTCTAGGAAGAGAGTGATATTCCTTCTTATGGTTCAAGAGAAATGTATACATCAATTCCATAGCTGTGTATTTTATTTTGTATAAGGTACGTTCGAGAGAAAACCACTAATTTGTGTGAAGACATTTATTTTTCTTGTGTTTGTTGCCATGGCAATGCTGTCTCTAGTGGAAAGCTGCATTTACATTTAAAGAGGCTTTTTTTTTTTTTTTTTTTTCTTTTTAAAGATAAAGGCAGATGGATCCTAAGAGTAATTTATCTTACTAAGAAGGTTGCTTTGTTTAGAACATTTTGAGACTGAATTCAGTGCAACAAACTCGATGAATGTTGGCCCAATCCCCAGCAGACAGGCATGAGGATGCCACATGGACTTCCTTGTTTTCTAGCTTGTATGGAATGATAATCCATTCCCCTGAACTGCAGAAACACAGGGAGTGGTGCAGCAATTAAATCCATACCATGTACTTATTCAGACCTGGGATGTCTCACCCTTACTTCTATTTTTATGTAAGGAAGACTTACAGCCATCTCGTTATAGGATATTTTTAAGTCCTGCACAAAAGCCACTTAATATATCTAGAAGTCACTTTAAATAGTTTTAGCAGTATTCGGAAAATCTCTGGTGAAGATCAGCAGCCCTCCATTTCCTTTAAACTACTTTTGTGTAATACAGTGTATGCAAACAAACATTATTGTTTAACTTTCACCTCCTTTAGAAGCAAATAAACATTTTTTCCTATGGTGCGGCTGTGAAAACAGGAATTGAGCAATATTTAGGAAGACACAAACTGCTTTTTGGACTATGGAGTTTATGGGGTTTGGTCCCCATGCTGTAAGGATGAACTCCCTACAGAGAGCACTGCTTCCACTGCTGCTCCCAAAACATAAGTATGCTAATTGCATTGCTGGATTTTACTGGCGTTGTTTTACATGAGCAAATTCTAAATAAGTATCAGATACAGAACAATCTGAGATTTTCAGTGGGGGCCCTAACAAACAAACAGACAAACAAACCCAACAAGCCATTGTCACAGTCATTGAATCATACCGGAGAAGTTTGTTATTTTGGAGGCAGAATATGGATCAGATGTTACAACAAAATACAGAATGGATGTACAGATGATTTTTTGTTACATTACTCTAAGTTGATACTGTTTTTATAACTTTCTAACAAAGATGATAAAACATGATTGAAATTTGTGGTTTATGCTACCTTCAAATATTTAACTACTCATGTATTTTTCCATATATGAGACTAATAATAAAGGTTAGCTAACTTTCACTATCTGCTGTTCCTTTTACAGCTTTTGCTTCTATATTCATTAGTAAGATTCTTCTCCTGAAGTTTGCAGATGCACCTGCAAATACAAAACCTGAAAGTTCAAATAACAATATGCAGATGATATTCTTATATTTATGCTCTGGGAGGTTTACTAAAATCAGTTTCCTGAATTTTGGGGCCCTGAGAGTTTCAACTAGTACTAAATTTTAAGCAATACAACAGTTGGAATTGAAAAAAAAAACACAACAAAACGAAACAAAACAAAAAACCCACCATCTAATTGAGGTTATGGGATGACTGAACTGAACTGCATAATAGAACGTTTTTGCAAGCAGGGGAAAAGTAGCAAGAACAGGATGAGAGATTTCCCTGCCCCCCAAGACTGCAAAAGGACGTCTAGCACCCTTAATTGACCAAAACAGCCCTCCAGTCAATGAAAAGCCAAAGCATTTTCATCATTTCAGCACAAGCCTGCTTTGATTGCAGCACAATAGAACATAATCTGGCAATTCAATTAGAATATTATCTGATTAGAAGTGCAAATATTAAATTTCCTCTATGAACTTTTCTTTTACGCTAATAATTTACTGTGCTGTTAAAAGACCTATTGTACAACTGTTGATTAATTGTATCAGTTTTTAAAGACTAATTGCTAAGGAGGTTGCAATGGGTTAAATAAATGAATGCCTCCAATTCCTTCAATTCTTTGTTTTCTAGCAGAAACAGAAGAGCACTCCTTAGAATCTTTTTTTTTTTTTTTTTTTTTCTTTCTGTCTTTTTTTGGTTTTTTAGGGAAATATGATAGAAGAAGGAAGGGGAAAGTTCAGAAGAGTTCCTTTTGAGATTTGTACTTCTGGCAGCTGTCATATGTCCATTTTACCTTATTGCTTTCATTTGGATTTTAAAACATGCAAGATGCAGCCCTGGAAGGGCAAGCAGAGGCAACAAGGAGGAGCTGATTTCCAAACTGCCGAGAGTATCTGAGAGGCTCTTACAAATCAAGAATGCTGCTATCCCTTTCAATTCCCTACTTCAGTATTGATAAGCCATAGATGGAATGGGTTTCGACATGTATTGCATAAAGAGCTGAAAGCATTACCAGTTAGGCAAGTGTAAGCACACTCTAGAGTTATACATCAGTGCATCTCGACAGGGTAGTCCACAAGACACATTAGTATGAACTATTTTCCCTGTTTCAGTGTAGAGTGACATTAAAGATGGTAACTTGTTCAAAAGCTGCAGCTGAATGTTACAGTAAATATATG